GACGTGTCGCTTAACACCAGATAAACGACCTGTTCGTCCCGTCGGTTACCAAGCATTTTAGTATCATAAAAAAAGAATAATATTCCATATTCTATTTTAAGTAATACAAACTATAAAACAATTCAACCATGTTATATTTTGTTACAATTCGAGGTTTTGTATTTAGTGCTTCTGTAATTGAAAAAAAAAGTGAAAAAAAAATGAGGAAGTAAAGAGAAAAACAAAATATATTAAGCACGTAGTACCACAAAACTGTGGTGCATGCCGTCCACACGCCGTAACTACTGCTCAAGTTATCATTTTGAGTTTTTACAAGTCAATTAAAACCCCCTCAACAAAAATTGTAATGCAGAACCTTAGTGCGGAACACGCTATGATCTACCAACAGATGGTCAATAAGATATGTAAGAAAAATTTTAAATATGAATTAAGTTATGTTTTCTTTCCCTCTAACTGTAATAAAGCCACTTCTTCAAAATTATAACTTTACAACAAGAATACAAGATATTTATTTATTCGCTGAAAAATGTAGTTAACAATGCAGGTCTTATATACACACGCCAGCACATCAAGCTACACATTGACGTATCTTGTTCCGTTGCACTGGAGGCGATTTTCGAACAAAAATGTGTAGTCTGGTGTGCCGTTGTCCGTACATTTCACCAAAACTTGGCATATTATACACGAATATTTTACACAAAACTTCTTTCACTTTAGAAGTAGCATGTATTAAAGTTAAATTAAAATAATAGCATAAACAAGCTACAACAATTGTAATTTCACCAGAAAATAAGAAATCAAAAATATAACATACAATAGTTAAATTTTACATTTTATGTTATCAAGTAAAACCCATCAATATTGTACTGAGTAACTAACAAATTATGCAATTTCATTTTAAAGTGTCTACAATTTAATTCTTTACCAGCATCCGGAAACTTATTAAATAATTTGGGTGCTAATACAAACATCATTCTAGTGTAAAATTCCAAATTAGGGCGTTGTTTGGGCAGTATTTCTATTTCATTCCTGGTGTTTCTAGGATATCTAGCTTTGACTATATTAAAGTTGCACAGATTTTGTTCACATCGTCGCTTAACATCAGGTGAGATTGTGGCCAAGCGTGTGTCTATTATATATATATAATTTTGTTTCACATTAACACAGGCCTCGTAAATATACATCGATGGTAGGGTTAACATCTTCAGTGTCCTAAAGTAAGGTACACAACTCTCTCGCCGACCTACACCAAACATGGCACTGACACATTTGTTCTGGGTTTTAAATAGAGGCGTAATATGTGTTGCTGCTAGAGGCTACATAAGCATGATAAGCACAAAGAACAGTTTTTTGTGATGTTATTCTTGTCAGATTTTTTAGAACATATACGTATTTACTAAATTTTGGTATTTAAGTTCACGAGAGAGGTTGAAGATTCTAGGAACGAAATAAGTCGATACACTTTTTCACCCGATTATGTTTTACGCCGATCTCGCCAATACTTCTTTCACCGACTTTTTTCCTTTTTTTGACCGACTTCAAAAAGGAGATTCTTAACCGACTTCAAAAAAGGAGGAGGTTTCGGCCCACCCTTAGAGGTGGAATATTCTCTTATAATGTGTGGACCTTATGGCTGCGATTCCACCAGAGATGTGCGAGGTAGCTACGTAGAGCTAAGCATTTGTACATACAAAAAGGCGAGAGATGTGTGCGAGGGATGAGAGCGAGGGATGCGAGCGAGGAATGTGTGCCAAACGGTGAAGGGAACTAGAGCTACAGGGCCGTCGCCTTCACTCACCATGCCACACCACACCACATCCAACCCGCGCACAGCTGAAAAGAGCCCGCTACCATACCCCGGACACTCCATACAACGGCAGAAACGTATTTACCTATTAGTACTACATACAATGATATTATACTTGTAACTACATACAACAGCAAGGCGCTGTCTGGCACTTTCTCGGACTATTTATTCTCTTATTTTAACGTGCACTAGTTGTGATTCGACTGTATTTTTTTTTTCGTGTGATGTTACGCGATTAGTCTTTTTTTTTTCCATTAGATTTGTGAACCTATTTAGATGATTATTTTTTATTAGAATAAGGTTACCTCGGTATTGGTCCCAAATTAAAAAATTTGAAGAAAGTATTCCACCTCTAAGGGTGGCAAACTAAGAGATGAATCTGGTTTCGCGCACTTTCCGGTAACCGATTTCAATAAAACTTGGCAAACAGACGTAATTCTAAACATTTGAAGTAGTTGGATTAAAAAAAAAAGTTAGTATAATACCAAGTGGCGTGAGGAACTAGTCGTGCGCCTTCAAATTCTCTGTTTGCTAGTATTCTCGATTCAAATTCGGTTTGCTCGATTTACCAATCTCGTCAACGCTCCAGGAAGTTAATATTGCAATTTTTGGCACAGAAGTGAATGTTAGAAGTTAATTAAAATATATATACATGTATATATTTTAATTAACTTCTTCTTCAAGTGCCTCTCCATTATTGAAGGTCGGCAGTCAGTTTTCTATATATTTCTTTGTTCAGAGCTAGCCTAAACAGTTGTTCCACGGTCTTGACGCCAGTCCACTCCTTGATGTTACGAAACCATTTTCACATTTTTGTTCTTCCAAACTTCCGCTTCTCACATACTTTACCCATCATTATAGTGTGCAATACATGATATCTGACATGTCGCAGTACATGACCCAAATAGGTAACTCCACCTTCTTCGCCATACGTTTAAGGATCTCAACATACATGACTTTGTTCGTCCAACTGATGCGAAGCATTCTACGATAGCACCACATTTCGAGCGCTTCAAGTTTCTTCTTGTGGTCTTCTTTTATGGTCCATGATTCGCATCCATAAAGAACGATTGGCCGATAATTATTTATTTTATGATTGAATTTCTTACAATAAATTAATAATAATTGTCTTCACTTTTATAAATCTTTTTGATGATATAGGTATTTACCTGTAATTGTTTTAGCATTTTAACTGTAATACCTTTTTAAATATGTGTACACTTTTGTAGTAACCCAATGTACCTACGCTCGTCGATAATTGCAACTGCAGTGCCACTCAAAGTTTTAAATTCCGAAGATCTGAAGGGCACTGCCACTGCGCTGGTTACCTTGAGACATAAGTTGACAAGTCCCATGTGCCTGTAATTTCACCAGCACCTTTAGCGCCCAGTTACACGAGGCTAAAGTTTTCGCGCGGTGACCACCCAGTTACCACGCCTTCATGTACATTAATGGCGAATCTAAATTCTATTTACTAGGCAACAACATTTAAATTCCTCTGAATAATACAACCGCGCCGCCGCGTAGACCAAATTCAAGCCAGATTCGCGTGTCTGAGACGTTCATTTAAGTTAAAACGTAAAAGATTCCACATTTGCAAAACACAAATTTGTACCTTAATAATGGGAAAATATAGATGAATATGCTATAGGCGAAAAACATGATGCATCGCGACACTTCGACTCTGCGCCAGTGTGACTTGAGCCTTAGACGCACGCGGCAATGTGGATCCGCTCGGCGACTGCGCGGCCGGGGCGGCCGCGCGGGGTGAGCGCGACGATATTCGCGTTGAAAAAAACCCCTTCAAAACTGTTACGCAATAAGGCTCACATTACTGCTTGGTGGCATAAATAGGTGGCAATACTTCCCTAGACGAACTTTATCGCATGTGGTTTTATTACACCGAGGCTACGATTCACTGTCACTGTTGTGTACTACACTTTTTGGGTACAAACGTTCAAACCAACGATATATATTATGTCTAGGTACAAACAAAACTTTATCATCTTTTTAGTATCTACTAGAGATAAGTAAACGCAAGGAAAATAGTAAGATCGTTTTCGATGAGAAGTACATATAATTTTATATAGCACACGATAATATTAATGCAATTTCCATTTAGTGATTTTTCGTATGTCCACAAAGGTTTAGCTTTAAAAACGTTTTTTACTTATAATGACCACCAGTAGTTGTTCTTATTCCGCTTTATAGAGAGTTCCTTAACTATAGAAGTCTATAAATTGTTTATTATGTGTGGACCCTATGGCTGCGATTACACCAGAGATGTGCGAAGTAGCTAGGCGTCGAGCGAGAAAAAATCCACCAATAGGATTATTTCATTTTCCTAGCCTCTCTTAGCACAGCTCTGGTCGGAAAGGGCGAGCAGAGTGAAGCATTTGTACGTACAAAAAAGCCAGAGACGTGTGCGAGGGATGAGAGCGAGGAATATGTGCGAGAGACGCGAGCGAGGAATTTGTGCGAGAGACGCGAGCGAGGAATGTGTGCGAGAGACGCGAGCGAGGAATGTGTGCAAAACGGTGTAGGGAACTTGAGCTACAGGGCCGTCGCCTTCACTCAGCCTTCCACACCGCACTCCAACCATGCACAGCTGAAAAGAATCTGCTACCACATCGCGGACATTCCACACAATGGCAGAAAGTTATTTACCTACTATTACTACATACAACAGCAAGGCGCTGTATGCACACGCGCAAATATGTGCGTGACGTGTTAGGGCTACCCATTACTTTCTAGTACTGTTCATTCTCTTGTTTTAACGTGCACTGGTACTGATAGAAGAGACGTCTTTTAAGGCGTATTAAAAAGTTATAAATTCTACAACATTTATATATAATTAAAATTTTAAATAATGTAAACTATGTACGATGAAACTGCAAAAACTTTTAATACACACACACACTCACAGGCAGTAGCAGGCACTCGCACGCACTCGTCGGCACCTAACCCAAGTAAAGACTTGAAAACATTTCCACTATATAGTGCACGAGTGGAGATGGTCACATTGACTCGCCGTAGCCTCTGCTCACCCCACCACACCGCACTCCACCCGTACAGCTGAAAAGAGTCCGCTACTCATTCTCGAACCGCTCAGCTAACACCGTTTTACAGCGCCGCCACACATCCTCGCACCGCCTAGCTACTTTGTATAGCTCTGGCGGAATCGCAGCCTAAAGGACGGGAAGTTCGCCATGACTCTCAACAATGAAATTTCAAACTGAAATATCCAGATTGGTCATAAATTCTAGAGACGGACACGATCAAGCTTCCAATTTTCCTCTCCTGAAAACAAACGAATTAATGTTTAACTACAGTTAGAACTGTATCATAACCATCACCTTTGGTTTAGTAAATGATTAAACCCATTATTTACCTGTCCTGCTACCACCAAACGCGTGTCTGTACAAACGTCAAGTTAGTTATTATTTTAGTTTATTCCTATTGCGTTATTCCTTTTTTGGATACATGTCGGATACATCAATATTATTCTAAACTCTCTTCTCTTCGTTTAAAAATAAATATATTAAAAACAACTTAAAATGTGTGCGTGCACACAAAGGCGAAGAGATTTTTTTTTAAATATTTATGGCTGGCTAACTAATGAAAGTGTTGGGAAAGTACAATTACAGGATAAGGAAGGGGTACGGAATTTGGATGAAAAAGGATATGGTA